ATAGGGTCTGCAGAAAGAGATTAAAATAACCAAGTTAAAACAAAATTGTACAACTAAAAACATAAATAAATACAAATATTGTCAATGGGTCAATCAACTTTTAAATGTCCTGTTCATGAAATTTTTAATTTTAATTTGATTGAAGATTTTAATACACATTATTATTTTATAAGTTAGATAATTGATTTTTTATAGGAATCCGCAATTAACAGTGCAAATATCGTCTGAAAAATATAATTTTTGACTTAAAAATCCGAAGGAACCCAATAGCATCTGTCCCCTGTACCACTAGTTGAATACATTTTTTAATCATTTAAACTTTATTTAAAATTAAAACCAACACTTCAGTTTTATGAAATATATAATACATTATATATAAAAAATACTTTTTATATTTGTTGGAGCGGTATGATACATAACTTCAGAAATATCACCATTAACAGTGTTTCTTGGAAAACGATTGTCCTATCACTCAATGAAATTTTTCACTAAAATAGTAAATCGAATATTATTTGTTATAAAAAAACAACAAACAATTTTTTTTCTAGCTGTGTTATTTAGCTCTTAAAACTTACTGAAAATGTTTGTGCTTTATAAGAAAAAGACGGATAATGTTATTGTTTTACATGGGGACAGTCGGGCTGTCCAATAGACATGTTTGGTTGTCCAAAGAAAATATTTAAGCTTCTAATGCCTACATTTCGTGTTATTCCAAATGAATAGCAATTCGACATGAAATAATAAACTTGTCAAACAAAATAATAATAGAAGTTTTTTAACAGAACAATAAGCAATTAAGAAGCAATGAAATCAACGCAATCAATAATATTAAAACTAACTTCGAAGATAATCAACATTTTCTTTATTCAAATGTGAGTGCGCATTTGACCTCCTTCTGACTTGATGGAAAGTGACGATGAGGTCGACCATGGAGCATGCATACCTAAATAAAGCCTACTCACTCACGCCTTGAAAAGGTCCAAGTTATAACGTTCAGGGAACAAGTCTGCAGGCAGTGAATTCAACTCTATAGCCGTTCGCCAAATCGCCATATAAATGTGGAAGCGTAACCAACAATAAGCAGGCAACTTTACAGCGGTATTCAAGACTCTGCAGCTTCGCTTCTACTAATTCCGAGTCACCTATAAGCCTCTTGCCACGGTTGTCAATTGAATCCAAGGTGGACCAACTGGCCATATAGCAGAGCCATCCTAAAGATGGCAGCAGTACTCCATACACGACCGGACTTGTGCTTGATACAGCTGAAATAACTGACCCGGTGTGAAGTAACGCCTCACCCTAGAAAGGATGCCAAGCTTCCTGCCTGCATTTTTGGCCATAGATTCAATGTATCTGCCGAAATTTAGATTGCACGACAGGTCCATTCCAAGTAGCTGGAGACCGTCGGCTACCGGTACGGATATATCACGAAAAGTCGGAGTCAGCTCAAAGGAACTCCGTTTTGTGGAGAGTAGACACGCCTGCATTTTGGTAGCATTAAATTTGACAAGATTGGCATCGCTCCAACCGGAGACGGCCTTGAGTGTCAAATCCAAACAGCCTTCTAAGATCACTCGAATGGAACGTTCGCTCAAGAAATCCGAGATCCAATTGCAAAGGTTAGTGGGAAGCACATAACATGGAAACTTACTTAAAAGGCTTGCGTGCCAAACCCTGTCAAAGGCTTTAGAAATGTCCAAAGACACTGCAAGTGCTTCGCCTTCCTTTTCTATAGCCTCGCTCCATATGTGATAGGCATACACAAGAAGATCCCCAGTAGATCGCCCTAATCGGAATCCGTACTGGGGTCACCGTGGAGGTCGTTGTCTTCAAGGTACGACAGGAGAGGGATGTTGAGTACACGTTCCATAGTCTTGCAAAGTATGAAAGTGACTGAGATAGGTTTATAGTTGACAGGGTCAGCTCTGCTTCCTATTTTGGGCACAGGTTGCACGTTTGCAAGCTTCCATAACCTGGAAACTACACCAGTCTCAAGTGAGAGGCGATACAGGCGTGTGGGAACAGGAGACAACTCAGGCGCACAGTTACGTAGGACTACCGCTGGAATTCCATCTGGCCCGCTCGCTTTATTCACGTCAAGATTCCGCAGAGCTCCAAGTATCTCTTTTTGGCGTATGCGAACTGACGCCATAGTGCAGTCAGCCTGAGGTAAGGTAGGTGGTAGGTTCCCTGCGGCATCCAGATGCGAACTCTCTGCAAAGAGTGAGGCAAAGAGATTCGCCTTCTCTTCTGCAGTATGAACCAGTGTGCCATCCGGCCTCGGCAAAGGTGGCAAAGATGGGCGACAAAAGTTACTTTGGACCGATTTGGCCAGGAACCAAAAGTTTTTGCTACCTTCTGGATAAGAGGCAAGCTTGGCCCCTGTGCGTTGTAGTGCACATGGTCGAACTTGGCCCTGTGTAACACGCTTTTACTCTTCTTGATGGCTATATTAAAAGCTTTCTTCAGATTCCGAGTACTCGGAGCTTTGCGCAGTCGAGTCTCTGCCCATCGTTGGTACGCGGTCTGCTTCTTTTCAGATATTCCCATTCTATAGGAAAACTAACAAAAATTGTAGTTTTATTATATAAGGAATCAAATTATACAAATTGCTTTTACGGACAACCAATAACGTCACACGGACAACCAACTTGGTTGTCCAGACGACAGGTTGTCCAAGGGACTTTTTTTTAGATTAAGCTACCTGAGCAAGAAATGAGGTTTTGTGTCTTTTATGTCACTCTCACAATGAAACCAATAGTAAATAGAATCTGTTGCACCATAATTCAGTATGACATAATAAGGCTGGACGGTTACCATGCCGGACTGCCATGCAGAGGTCCCAGGTTCGATTCCCAGATCTAGAGAAATATTTGTATGGCCTTCATTTATTTCTCTCGTGAGTTTGGGTGTAATTTGTGGTTGTGTATGTATGTGTCCATGGCACCCGCGATACAGGGTCTCCCCAGTGCGGGGCTATGTTAAAAAAAATTGTATGATTAGTGAATGACGTTTTAAGAAACTTTTTAAAGTAACTTGGTCTTTAATAACGCTACATTTAATACAAATTTCAAACAAAATGCAGGAATTACTTTACAATTTTCTGTTGAATGTGTAAGAAGGCTCTCAGAACCAATAATAGGTCGGCTGGGGTCTGGTATGGGCATCGACTGAACGTTATTTTTTCGTCCACCTGTTTATAGTTCTCAGCACATATCATCACGGTTGTGTCGGCCGCAAATAAAAGTACTTCTCTTCTACTTCTGATATGAAGTGTATCTTGACTAACTCTGGGAATAGGGCGTTACTTAGTTACAAGATATCACCAGAAACGAAATTGGATTTTCTGCCGCCTGTACTAACTTAAGAGTGGTTAAACATGGCGACTTTAACATCGATGCAAACGCGCGACTGCACCGATACAAACGCGCGATGCAATCGCCTTTAGATCCTAAGTGTAGCGATGCAATCGCGCGTTTGTATCGATGCAGTCGCGCGCTTGCATCGCGTTTGCATCGCTGCTAAAAGTCGTTGTGTGTAACCACTCTAAACCGTTTTCCTTCTATTTATTAAGAAAGACTTAAACTGAATTTTCAATAAACGAAATTTCAGTACAAAAAAAAAACAAAGTATTTATAATTCTTTAATATAAACTCTCATATCAAGATGTGGGGGAGCTGGTGATGGAGTATAAATTTGGTCTTTGTAAGGCAGTCGGTAGATCTCTTTGTAGCCAAGTTTCTCTGCCACCTTCGCTGAGAATGCCGATGTCGCTTCTATGCGCACTGCGGCGGCGCAAGTAGTGCGGGCCATTCGCCTGAAATTACAGAAAAAAAACTACTGTAAAATAGATATTGCTCTGAGGAAATGCCGCCGACGTTAATAGAATCTTTGCTGTCTTTAGAGCTGTTAGAATAATTTACAAACTGAACCCCAAAGTAGCTTTGAGAGATAAGCTTTAGAAATATTCTTATGTGTTTAGTTATAGAATTTGTGTTAAAGGAAATAGTATTTTCTTTTATAAAAAATAATTATAATTATGTCTATCTCTATTACGAGGAACAAAAATATTAGTCACAAATTTATTTGAGGGGCAATGTATACAACTCTTTAAAAAGATTTAAGTTACGTCAAGCTGTTAACTGCAAGATACGTACCTTTTAACTTTGAATAATAGGGAAGTAACATCAGCAAAAATACTATCTCATGTTGTATATCCTCCATGAGGCTAAATAAGTCATTAATATAAATTAAAAATAAAAACGGACCTAGAATTGAACCTTGAGAGACCCTTCTAACGTACCGTTGACATCTACCCTGTGTCAAAAAAGTTGAAGTTACGACCCGTCACACCATAATGGCGAATTTTAAATAGTGCCAGATAATCACACCAATTACCTAGTCTCGTGCTAGGGGAATTTCCTGTACTAAGAGCACCAGAGCAACGTAATTCATTTCGGGGCAGTACTTACAGTACAGTACAGTACAGATTAGAACCAATTTTCATTTTTTTAACAAAAGTTCTTTTCCCAAATTAGTCCTATCGGGACTTCCGCACCTAGTCTAGCAAAATGTTGGGCCTCCGAGATCTTTAATATACCAACCAATGATTATAACTTTTTTGTAAAAAAAGACACCGAACTTAAAGTTAGTGGAATTACGTCTATTTGCCAAGTTTTATTGAAATCGGTTACCGGAAAGTGCACCCCCTATCATCCCCTAGTTTGCGACCCTTAGAGGTGAAATATTTTCTTCAAATTTAAATGGGACCAATATTTAGTATAGGGTCTTTCCAACAAAAAAAATATATCAAAATCGGTTTACAAAACACATACACACGCGGATACTGTCGAATTAAGAATCTCCTCCTTTTTTGAAGTCAGTTAAAAAGTAACTTACTCTGTCTTTTTTGTCAAAGCTGTCATGACCCCCTTCCCCCTCCAATCGGAGCGTACAGCACACATATGGAGTTCCAACACAGTATTGCAGGTCTTCGGCAGTTTGTCCCACATTTTATCTTCCCGTCGCACGTGCAATAAAAGCTGGAGGATTCCATCTTCACAGGTTTTTGGATCAAACTCGAAGTTGTTTGTTTCGGCCTCCTGAGTAAAAACTGTCAGATTTGTTTAAATACATACGATTCAGGATGTACGAAACTAGACCTGGCTTTGCTTGAGGGCGTCGAATGTTCTATTTGCATATCTTTTATACCAAGTTACGGGAGGAGTAAGTCGTGAGTCTAGTGGTAAAGCGACACCTATCCGTAATATTTGCAGTGCCACACAGACTTTTAAATTGCAAAGTTCTTAGGGGCATTGCCTCTGCGCGTTGAGACATAAGTTGACAAGTCCCAAGTGCCTATAATTTCACCAACACCCTCACTCATCAAAACCGGAACGCATTAACGCTCACACAAGCAGTAGTGTGAGCGTGAATGTTTAATAGCAATACCCCTTGCAAAATTCCATTAAGGAAACGACGTGATGAAACCTGCATATCGAAGATGATTTACAGCCCTAGAAAAACGTTCCCAACTCGCATTGGACGTTTATGTAGACGGATTATGTTGAATGAAGAAGAAAACTATACCTCCAATGAACAGTACGCCAACATAATTTTTGGACCTGTTCTGTTTTTATTTTGTTTTTTGTTTCTTTTTTTCTTCACAAAATTAGTTTTTTTTCCAATTCTGTTATTGTTTCTTTATTTTTTGTGAACTGATTTTGAAGATTATTTTTTTGTTGGAAAGAGATACCTCAGTAGTGGTCTCATTTAAATTTGAAGGGGGTAAACTAAGGGATGAATCCGGTTTCACGCACTTTCCGAGAACCGATTTTAATAAAACTTGGCAAATATGTAGATGTAATTCCACGAACTTTTGAGGTCGGCTTTTTAGTAGGTACTCTATATTGAGATTATTGTGTACCAACACTATTTTTGTGACCACACAGTGACTAGTGCTTGTAAGATTTATTGACTAGTGCGCTTGCACTTACTATTGTTTTAACTTTGATGTATTTTTAATTTATCTGTGAGTGAATGTATATTCTAAGAAAAAATAAATATTCTTTAACCTTAACAATCAGTCTCGTACCTCTCTTTTAATCAATCCATTGAGTGATACCCCTATAATTTCGCCACCATCGTCTAAAGCTAGGACTGACAAAGACTGTCTCAAAATCGCGATCAGATGTTCTCCTATGTCACTCGCATCCACGAGTGATTGTGACACTGTGTTCAATGGCTCATCTTCTTCAAAAATCCTTTAATCAAAACACAATTTTATGTGCAAGCGGTTATTATTCGAAAATAGGCATTTATAGCAAGGACTAAATAATTTAGGCGGTAATGAAAGCATGCTTTTAAGTAGGAAAAAATAAAAACGAAAAGATTACAAAACACAGTTATTATTTTTTTTAAATCTACAATAATCTAAATTCTGCTCAAGTTTAAACACTTGCATCTAAGAGCGGTTTTACACGGCGACGATTAGCAGAGACACAAAGGCGCGTGTGTGTAAAAGTAGACGATTGACGACAGCACCGCTGCAGACGCGCTGCTAAAACTAGTCATGTGTAATCGCTCTAAGGAAACAAAACGTGAATCCTCACCTTGTAGCGAATTGTAACACTGCTTGTATCTCCTTTTCCTCTAAAGTTACAGCTCGAAGTGTGTAATTTGGTTGCATTGTTTCGTTTAATTCTGCAAAAAATTGTAACGAATTCTATTAATATAATATTGATATGTAATGATCATTCTCGGATTCATGTTTACCGCCTAATTTGAGATGTAGTAATCACGTATCAGACACACAAACAAAAATTTGGCAGTGACCTAAAATCTGAGAATGATAGGTAAAAAAACAAGCATTGGATTGATCTTAAAATTTATTAAACAATAATTTCTTTGAATTTACTCACAATTTTGTGTGATGAAAGGTTGTTGGTGTTTACTTCTGGTATTCATTCTGTTTTACTCTTCTAACACGACTGTCCTGTTCTCTAATACAATCACGACTGTATAAAAAGGTTTTTTTATGAAACGTTAACACTCAGTTTTGCGACAAATGGCTACCTCTTGTGGCGCCATCTATCCGAACCCAGTTATAATTGATATTTCCATTAAATCTTTTATGACGGCAATTAGTTATACATTAATAAGTAATTAATTATATTATTAATAATAATGTAACAATATATTATAAAAGCTAACATACAAATTGTTTTTGAATTAAATTCTGCAACATATTAAAAATTGGAAATTGCCTCTAAAGTTAGGCCATGGGTTCTATTAAGGGCATGCAGGCGCAAAAACGTGTGACGTCCCCATAATTAATCCCCCTCATAATTAGTTCCCGCATAAGGCCAGCGTAGCAGACTATAACTTGCACTCGCCTGAGAGGAAACGCGTGCGCAACAATGGGACGTATAAATGGGTTGACTATGACCAAAGTCAAACTCAAATAACCTTTATTTTATAGGTAAGCAAACCACACTTGAAATCGTCATTCTGATTAAACTCTGCTGCTCATTCGTAAGGCAGATTCCTCTTTGTAAATATACATTTTAATACATTTATCATTACAATATTTTCTTATAAATGACAGGCAGATGACTCCATTCCACCTGACGAAAAATGGAAAGTGGAATCCGAACATTTTTAATATAAACATCTTCGACCGAAACTACTTGCAAGAGCTAACAGGGTCACTACCATGGATTTTTGTCATCCAAGTTCGCAGAAGCTGTATAATAATAACCTTCAGTATAAAGTTTTTGTTTCGCTATAGTTTTAAACCTCGTAAATGACAAATTTTAAATATCAATCGGAATCTTATTAAGTATAGAAACATACGCATTGCCCCTTGAATGAATTTGTGACTTTGTGAAGACGACCGTCAAGAAAAGCAAGTTTATTTTCATTCCTCGTATTACTGTTATGTGATAGTCTAGGATTACATTATGTCTATTATAATTTAGTGGGCCTACGATTGTAAGTATTTCTTACTGAGCGTAGTCTAGGGTCGGCAGATAGGCTAACTAGCCCATAATAATCCCACTACTGGCACTGGCCTGCGCAATGAGAGGCTTGGGCTGTATTTTCCGCGCGGGCCCATTGCAGATTTGGAACATGACACACATTATTAAATTGCTATGAAGATGTGTGCAAGTTTCCAAAAACTTCTTAGTAAATTTCAAATTAAATTTCACACTTAAATTCCGAAAACAATCAAAGATGTAAGCCCGAGTTCGAACCTACGACCCTACTCGAGAGACGTTAGGTGACCCATTAAGCTACCACTGCACACTTAAACTTATACAAGTAGACTTAAGCACTTAAGTATGACTTAAGTCAATAATATTTTTTAATTACGAATGAACAAACTTTATTGTCTTCGTACTTTTTGTAATGTCAGATGTTGTTACGTCGAATGTAAAGAGAATATTGAGTCTGAATAAAACGTTACTGCTATTTGAATTGAAACAAGTGAATTCGACTTATATGCTTTAGTTTAATTTACTACCTTAGTTTTAAAACATAAAATCACACCGAAAAAGCACTTTACACAGTAAATATACGCAATAAATCTATTGAAATGATCAAGAACTGCGTCTGCTTATCGCAACCTCGACCTTAACACAATACGTCAGTCTCATTTCTTTTATCTCATGTAGTTTAAAAGAGAACTACGTTATCTCTTCCCTGAAAGATAAACTGCTGCCTCCAGTTAAGTTGCTACATGAACAGATAAAACGAGGTAAAGCCGTTAATGATACCACAAAGTAAACACTAATTTCAAGATATGGCATTTCAGATTGAGCAATTTAAATTTGATCTTTGTTAGGCAGTTTCTTTATTATTTATGCTAAGAATGATGTCAATTCCAGTGCAGAGTTTTCAGTCATTGTCGATGTTTTTTACAATAGCAAGTGATGAGACGAACAAGTCCTGCGCCTGGTCGTAAGCAACACGCCTATCGGGACCATTCTCATTTCTGCTATTTTTTTTGTGCATATGTGCTAAAAAACGATATACTTGTATTACTTAGTCAATTCCTATTTCAAATTAATCGAGGTTTATATTAATATGGTTATTATTTATATTTACGCAATATAAATATTTATTTATATCATCATTAAGAAAGTGACGAAAATGTCACTTCCATGTCATGTGCAAAGTCCATTTACAATGATACAAATTAAAATGAAATATGTTTATCTGTAATAAACAAACTAATCTATATTATTTTACGATAATACATAGAATAAACTTTCTAAAAACTACTAAATAATTACAACATGAATAAATTTTTTTTATATATTTTTTATATATTTTCTAAAATCTTGTTTCCTCTTATTCTGTATTTTATGTGTGTGGAAATAAATGGTTTCAAAATAATGGATTCAAAATATTTCATAACGTTTCTGTATGAAAAAAATGTCACCTCCATGTATAAACTCATTGAACGCAGCCATAATTTATTAAATCAGTCAATAGAGTTTCTGAACAACAAACACAATGCCATCTTGAAAGTTTTTGACAGTTTGACAGTTTTTGACAGCCTCTTCCGGGATACTAGTGTTGGCGCACTGACCTTTAAAGTACGATTTTTCAAAAATTTGCCTGTTATTTTGGTCACTTTTGTGGATTACGTATCATATTATTTCATTCAATTAAGATCTATCAGATATCGTATAATTATGAGCTATTTATTATAACCGCCATCTAGGCATTTCATCGTAGTTTATAAATCGAAATTGAGGTCACGAAAAAACGGTATTTAAGTTTAAAATCTCATCTCCATGGACGTCACCCACGTGGATTACCGTTATCCACGGAGGTGACACAATTTCCATGGAAGTGACAATATAATAATGGATGCTCTTTATTAATTTAAATAATATTAACGTAATTAATTTGATTTAAATATATTTTATTAGATAATTATGGCGCCCACGAAAAAATGTCAGGAAGAGACAGACGTAAGAAAAAGAATGCGAGAGGAGCAATCGGGAAAAAATATAAAAGTAGCGTCTAGCTTGACACTTAACATTTAAATCCAACTCTATACCGCTTAGGATAAGAATGGTCCAAAGTACAAAGTGTCAAACTTGACGTGCTCTTAACTGTACGTTACAGAAAGCGAAAAGGAGAAAAGAATAAGTATTATTATTGATCAAATGTCAGAAAGAAAACAGAGAAAGGAATAGCGTAAGAGGCTAAAAATTCGCAGAGAATATGCAGGGAAAGACTTTTAATCTGTCTGCGTGATGATTCACCGCCTTCACGCGACATCGAAAATCAACCGATGAACCGATTGCGCATCTTGCTTCTATTTCAAACATCTCCTTCTGCCCCAAGCATACCATCTTGTTCTGTTTCAAGATGTCTTTCATCATCCAGATACTCATCTCCATCACTATTGGTAAATTACTTGCTTAAGAGACTTGATTCACAAAGTGACAGTAGGTAGTAGTACAACATACTCAAAGAAGATTGGATTGAAGACTGCAAAAATTAATCGCCACCACCATTATTGAAATAGTGGTGAAATTAGCCGAATAGAATTGAGACGTTTCCTTTCTAAAAAATCATTCTTAAACTTTTGTTACAAACTCGACTTAGAACAGAGGCGACCCCTGACAGGACGGGACGGCATTCGATCCTTCAGCAACCCTATATGCAAGTACACACTGATGGCAATTATGTCGCGGCATCCTTAAACATGCCACGGTATCCTTAGGCATGCCGGGGCATCTTTAGGTGTGCTGAAGCATGCCGTCGCTACATCGTTGCGTGACGTGTATTGAATGCTATAGTTGCATGGTGTCAAGGTAATGGGGACCAATGGCGACGCGGAGCGTGCGTCCTGAAACCTATCGACGCATCCTTAAGACTACCGAGGCATTCATAATACTGTCGAGGCATTCATAATTCTGCCGAGGCATCCATAAGGCTGCCGAGGCATCTCTAAAACTGGCTAGGCATCCCTTAGGTTGCCGAGGCATCCATAAGGCTGCTGAGGCATTCCGGAGGCTGAAGGCTCGGCGTGCCTAAGCATATCGCAGCTTCATTTTGCAGCTACGATCATTATCACTAAAATTGCAACTATAAAGTCATAATCTTAAGGTACATTACTATTCGTCACCTAAAAATCCCTTGCCTGTACCATCCCGTCAGTGGGCACTGGAACTAACTTTATTACGTAGAGGACTTTCTTTTATAATTAAAACGGCTTAAGTTTGATAACGTAATAACATCTTGCTTAGCTGGTGAAAATGAAGAGGCTTACTTTTTTATTAGGTCAACTGACAACAAAAAAGTTCAATAAATAGTGACATTATAGTAGTTAGTGTTTTATTTAATTTAAATTGTTAAACTATTTTTCATGTTATAAAGCTGAATATTTCATCATTATGTTACCATGGACCATGATAGACTAACAAGGCCATTGCCTTTTTTACTCCAAGAGTAAAAATTAAATAATATGAAAATGTCACAACATCATAACTTATTTTGCATTTTCCCAAAAAGTACGAAGTGTAAAGTAAATAATACTAACTATAAAAACTATTATTAGACGTACTGGTACCCATGTGACCTGATATTAAAAACTTAATAGAAGACTGTCTTAGTGTTCCAAAAAAAAATTATTTTAATAATATAGAGTTCACATAATTCAATATACCTAATACTTTAAA